CTAAATCTAGGTTTAATTTCCTAAAACCGTTTTCGGATTTCCACTGTAATCAGATTGTTCAACACAGCTAACCAAAATATCCAGCAGAAATACTTAACTATATTCACGCTTACCATTTTATTCCATAGCACTGAAAATAGTTTAATTATTTTCCATGGACTGTTTCACTTATTAAAATCATAAACTCGTTTAAATGAAATTGGATATTGAAGAAATTACGTATTACTTAAGTTACGTATTTACGTATTAAGTTACGTATTTCTAAGTAGCTCAATAGTCCTCATTAAACCACTTTAGAATAGAATAGAAAATAATTTTATTCTGGGACAAAGTCCCTTTAGAATAACAAAAAAGTACAAAATAAAAATATTATATCTGGCCTATATGAAAACAAACAAAAAAAGTAAAAAGAAAGAGAAACAAGTAAGGAAAACATTATTTAAACAAACTGTATACAAAATTTTAAAAAAATATATGTACAAAACACTTGCAACTATACCAAGGCACTTAAAACTATGTACTATGTATTTTTTTACAATTTTAGAAAAAATAAATAAAAAATACATTACGTTCTTCTTAGATATAAACACTGTGTTTCTGTGGGGAAAAAAAACATACCTTAAATATGAAATTTCCTATTCGTACGATTTTTCGTTTTTGAACTAGACTGTTAAAACACAAACACACACACACACACACACACAAAAGCACACACACAGATCATTTTGCGTGACTTGGTTATTTGGACTCAGGTGACCTCAAAACGTGTATTTCCGTTGAAAACTGAGATTCAAAAATTTTCACGATCGCAATACTTTCCTTTACTATATATTTTATACACAGGTAAGTGAAAGTAAAAATGCATTACATATATATTATATAATACATACATATAAGTAATGCATTATGTAAATCATTATGAATAATATGTAATTTTACATATTATGCTAGCGGGTATTTGACTGTTTTTGGGGCCGGAATTGGAATAGCGGGGTTTTAAATGTTGATAGAGAGGGAGAATGTAAATATGTAAAGGCATACGGAATCGAATTATTTTTTTTTTTTGCTGTTTTCTATCATTTTGTTCTGATCTGTTCTCCTTTATATCATATCTATTCCTTGTTATCATATTTCTTCAATACTATCGTTAATAGCAAACTTATCCTTGACAAAAAATATGTATCTTACAAATAAATAAAATTTAGGCCAAATTGTACTACTCATTTTTGAAATATAGACTTTTCAAGTAAAATAAGGTTCTGCCGTTTTAGTAAGGAGTTTATATGTCATTTAGGTAATAACTCGCAAATCTCTCAATATTTCATAAAAATTGTATTAATGGTATTAGTTTTTACTTCGATTGACTACAGATAGACCGATAAGAAACATGAAACCAAATTTGTTTCTTTGTTTCTAATTTAAAGTAGAATGCGAGTGAAAATGTCTGATTTTACAATTTTTTTTTCACTATTTTTATCACAATCTTCCGTACATTCGATATTGAGGGTACAGCCAATTGTTGCCATTATAAATAAAATGAAATTTATTTATAAATAACTTAAGTATTACAATAATTCTTGGAAATTTGATGGTAGAAGAGAGATTTTTGCCTGCGTTTGCTAAAAAGCGTGACTCAGGATGATGAGCACATTCCAAAGTTGTATGGCTGAAGTGGTTTACTGCTGCACTCCTGAGGTGAAGATCATAGATCAGAATACAACATATAAATATAATATATGCATATTTGTCAGTCTTGTTGAACTTTTTAAGTGGATTTTGTTAATGTTATTATGTTAATACGTTTTGAAAATTAAACTCCTCCACTTTTAAGCATGTAGTATATATATTAATTCATTAGATATATATTAATATATATTAATTATTATATTCATTAGAATATATATAGAACATCGCATTCATTAGAATATATATTAATTATCATTATATTAATATTATAATATTAAACATACTGTTAACACATTGGTGGACTATCACCGGCACTAGACCTAAAAACATATGAGACTGATGTATTTCTGGATGTAGCTCAGGCATTTGATTAAGTTTGGCACCTGAGTCAGTGTACATAGCAAACGATTACTTCTCATCACTTTGCAAATCATATTACCAACTTGTGTTACAGAATACAGTAATCATAAGACTTAAAAAAACCATCACATACATTAATCATGTTTTACAATATTATTTTATAAAAAATATATATTACATTTATACCCTATACAAGACTGAAACGACTACAAACCGCTAAACATTTAAAACTAATTCAACACTTACTAGACAAACGCTCTTAACTTCCAATTAACTATTTAGATTCATTTACTCAACTAGAAGGCCTGTTTGGACTTATAAAGTCGAACTTTGGAGCTCCAATAAACTATCGAATTCCTTAAGTGTTCAATTCTTACAATTCAAAAATCTCAATTCTCCTTAGTTTGTCACAAATAAAATTATTCGTAATGATCTTATCGACTAATCACAATCCAGATACCTATCCTTCCATGAAAAAACTCTTCACCTCTTCTAGTCAACTAATTTCTAACCATACATCCTATTTGAATCTTGACTATTCTCCTACGTGTCTGAAAAGAAACTGGTCTCGGTACCATCTAATCTAAAACCGTAATTGGAGTGCTATCGATGAATAATTTCTTTTCATATCTGTATATGTCCATATACCGATTCAAATTTACTTTTATTTTTAATTGTAAATTGAAAACAGTAAAGAAAACATTAGTTAAACATGCTATATACAAAACAAATTAACTTATATATAAAACACTTAAAACTTTGACAAGACACTTAAAACTATTTACAGTTATAAATATACAGTTTGAAGAAAAAAATAAATTAAGTTCTTCTTTAAAATAAGCTCTGTTTTTCTGCTAAAAAAAAAAACCCGAATCTGACAATATAAAATTCCTGGGTATTTAATTAATAAATAATATATAAATACATCATAATCATTTCTTGGCCTAACTATAAGTACAAATTTAACTGTATAAAATAAATAATAGTAAAAAACAAACAGTAGATGCATTTAGTGCCATCAAGAGAAAAGAATAGTACTGACATTTAATGTTGAATGTCATGAAATAAAAATATAATAAAAAAAAGGTTAGCAGGTATCTGACTGTTTTTGGTACAGAAATTGAAATAGGATGGTTTTGAATGTAGATATGGAGGAGTAATGCCGAATTTTGGCAGGGAGGGAATTCCAGAAATTGACAGAGTGAACAGTAAAGGAGTTTTTAAATGAGGCAGATCTGTGAGAAGAGAATTAAACGTCAGAAGGTCAAGATCTTGTGGGAAGGGAATGACCTGAGGACTTGAATAACAGAAGGTTGTAGATGCAAGAAGAATGATGATTGTTGATGGTTTGATAGAGGAAGACATGTAGACAGGAAATATTGACCTCAGTGTATTGGTGAGAGCCCGAGAGAGCCCCAATTAGAAATCTTACGCAGCTATTCATTAGTATTTTCAATTTATGACGGAGCTCCACCGAGAGTTCATCATACAACACACAGCTGTAGTCAAAGTGCGGTAAGATGAGAGAGGAAACTAGGAATCTACGCTTATGTTGAGGTAAGGGATGACGGAAGCGACGGAATAGTTTGAGAATATAAATTATCCGTCTCCAGATGTGAGAAATATGGTGATTCCATAATAGGGTTTGATCAATGAAAAATCCTAAAGTTTTAATTACTCCTTTATCCCTTTTTGGTAGCAGGATTTGAACTTGTAATCTTACAAAAAAATTGAATAGCTATAATTTTGTTAATATGTAGGGAATTTCATTACCTTTCAAGAAAACAGGCTAAACGGCGTTTTTTCGGACTCAGGAGGCTCTGAAACGTATAGATCAGTCGAAAACCGCATATCAGAAACTTAACCCGCATAGGTATCGCAATACTTTCCATACCTAGGAAGGAAGTAATCACTTAAAACGTGTGTAAAGAATAGAATGATGTATCATCGCTAATACTGATTCGATTCTGGTGATTTTTTATTTGTTTTGTAGGTAATTTAATTACCTTTCAAAAGTTTCATTTCTTTATAACTTTTTTCCCTGAATTTACTCAGAAATTTAGAACATGTACGAAAATTGAAAGGACATTAATTAGAAAATTATCATCAAAATCGACAAAACCGTTTTGGCGCTACATTCTATAAAAAAATACAATCGCTTATTGCGCAGGCAACACTGAATTTCTGTCACAGGCATTAGTAGTCAAATCCCTACAAAATAAAAAAACAAAAATAAAATCGGTCGATTAGTTCCTGAGAAAATCTTGGCACAGACAGACAGACCAATGGCTAAAAGTGTTTTTTTCGGACTCAGAAGGCTCTGAAACGTATTAACCCGTCGAAAACCGCATATGGAAAATTTGACCCGATCGCAATACCTTCCTTACCTAGTAAAGATAGGAAAATAAAAAAATGGAACCGTTGCATTCATTGGGTGTTTTGACATGAGAATCGATACTCATATCAATTTCCATGAAAATGGATTAAGTTTCATTTTTAAAACAAACAACTTCTTTTTCTAAAGGAAGGAGATGGTCCGGGGTGGTGGTCATAAATAGGCTAAATTGTGGTAAAACTATTTTATTAAAAGCCGACATTTCAACCCGTATTCTTCAGGGAGGTGTGTTTCCAGGGTGATGTGACTCCTAGCTGAACACACCTCCCTGAAGAAGACCTACAAAGTCGGATCGAAACGTCGGCTTTTAATAAAATAGTTTTACCAGTATTTAGCCTATTTATGACCGCCATCCCGGACCATCTCCTTCCTTTATAATGCAATGGTCAACTATTAAATATTCAACTTTTTTTTCTCTTCGTCCAGCAATTTTATTATATAATTACAATATATACTTATATATAATCTAATATTTTTACTCATCCCTTGTACTGCCCGATGGCATGACAATAAACGACTCATATATATAAATATAATAATTATGTTAAGCAGTCGCGGTCTACCGTTGCGGGAACGACTCCAGCTCCAGACAGCGAATGCCCAATAAACTCCAGCCGCAAGGTAGGCCGTTCACCCGGAGGGAGGTAAGGTATTTCCTAGGCCGCCTCTCTAAAGAGGCCAATGCCATCGTCCGGGCGGCTCCAGCAGTTCGCTTCTTGCGGCTTCTTTTCGGTCTGTCGAGCCAAAAATATGTTAGCAAATCAAGATAACATTATTAATATTTTCATCGTTATATTTGTATAATGATTCAATACAAACAAATATAGGGTGTTTGCCTTTCATAGCATCGATATTCATGTCACGCCGGAGCTCGGGCCCGCATAGAAATTATTATCTTCCTTCGAAATTGCTTTGTACTCGCGAATTGGAACGTTTAATGGCTGCTATAATCTGTAATTAATTATAATTTATCGTACATGAGTATGAATATGTTGAAGATGATTAATTTTATCATTATTCGACCTCAATTTTCTTTGCAATAATAATTTATTTATATGCATAATTTTCTTTTGAAGTATATATATTATTTTACCGCATTTTATTATGCATAAACAGCCATAATTTTTGCCCCCCTTCAATGTTGCAGATTGGATTATAATGCAAAAATTGGATAAAGTGAGCTTAAAGCTTAAAGCTAGTGAGAATTTTCATGATATACTGGAAGAAAAATATTAAAAAACAAATATAGCGTACATGTAGCTTCCATTGTTAATTTCGATTAGAATTTATTTATTTTTTTGTGATTGTACATTGTACAAACAAATCAAAATGTTCTCGAAAGATTATTTACTATGATACAATAGAAAAAACTCCCTCTTTTCTAAAGAATCCACAAGAGTTGGAAAAGAGATTCAGAGCTTCAAACCGGAATCTCATTTCGTCACGAGAGATATATGAATATCCTCGGAACATAGTTTTTTTTTTTTTGTTATTTTCAACATAGAAGTTTTTGGTGTGCTGCACGGGCGGATCTACGGGGGGAGCTTTCGGGCTGAAGCCCCCACCCCCAAAATGTACAAATATAACCATGCTTTATGGGAAAAAAAATTTTAAAAATACCTCTTAAAGTATTATTGTTCATGTAATTACATTTAAAAGTACTTAAGGAATAAATTAAACACCATTTCATATAGGTAGTTAGTTTCTTTCTGTTTTTCCAAAGTACTTATCGTTATTTTTATGAAAAAAAAAGGTTTCGGGCTGAAGCCCCCACAAAATTAAATCCTGGATCCGCTAGTGGTGTGCTGAATAGTGTTATCGTACTTTATATGAAGGAATATATAAAGATTGCATACTTAATTAATTTAAACTTTTCTCATCTATAAGCAATTATTTTTTAACGTGTGTATATTTCTTCCTGGAGAAAACCAAATGTTTTTGGTCGTAGTCGATATTATTTTTCAAACTCGAGGCAAAAAATAAAGCAGTTACAGCATTTTTACCACTCACCTTACAAGGCTTATTGGACCAGAATAACGAGCACCGGGTATCTATTGATTTGATTTCTACAGAGAATCTTCAAAACAAAAGTTTTCATAGAAATCGGCAGTGGAGTAATGGCCAATAATATCACTTGTTAGTACATTGACAGACAATGAATATAAAAAAATCTTCGTTACCGGTTGCATTTTAACAGATGTATTATAAGAACAAAATCGTATTACTAAAAAAAAGGAACAATGGTACATTTACAAAAAGAAAAATCCTAAAGTAAATTTATAACTTGATGGAATTTTCTCCCTCACCCATGGAAGGAAAGGCAGGACTCTAGGAGATCACAGCGGCTCTCACTCAGCCGCATTACTGGTATTAAGGAGCAGAATCTGGCCATTGCCAAAACTCCGGTAAATGCTTATTCACAAAATGTCCCTGGCCCACTGCCGTTTCAACCTTCGAGGAGGATTGTAGGGATGGGTGGACCTGAATAGGGGTTGTGCAAGGGGATTTGGATGATTGGTAAGTTTCTGGTGAAATTTGGAAACATTTTCTGGGACAAGGTCTAGAACAACTGGGATATTAATGTCATGGTATAGGTTTTGTTGGTTACATAGAATGGAGCATCAACTATCGGAGGACTTTAGGTTGAAAGGATTGGATGCATTTGAGGTTTAGATAATTTTGCTGTCCCCCACAGTTCAAGTCCTTACACTAGCGGATCCAGAATTTAATTTTGAGGGAGCTTCAGCCCGAAAGCTTTTTTTTAAAAAAAAATGACGATAATTACTTTGGAAAAAAAGAAAGAAACTAACTATCTATATGAAATGGTGTTTAAGTGATACCTTAAGTACTTTTAAATGTAATTACATGAACAATAATACTTTAAGAGATAATTTTTTTATAAAACGTGGTTATATTTTACCATTTTTGGGAGGGCTTCACCCCTCACCCTAAATGCGCCCGTGAGTCCGTATGTATGTCTATATAGGTTTCAGGATTGTCTTGTAGATAAGTAATTTATTTTCAACAGAAAGTTTAGATTTTTTGTTTAGTAATCTGCATAGTTGGTTCGTCGGTTCTTGTCTTTTGAGTCTAATTTGTGGGTTCCATTTTAATCGGAAATAATTTATCATAAAAATAATTTATAGACCATTAATGGATATTTACATTAATCAAAAATTCTTACCTGTAATTACTACTCAATTTACTTTTTTAGAGATGCACTTTTGTGAAAATACGATAAACACATTATCAATTGTATATAATAATTTATTTCATCCAGCAGGATTTATTATTCCTTTTCAAAATCATCGAATCATTTATATTTCATACACAAATATTGATTTTCTAAAGCATAATTATAAAAAGAAATCATTTTAGGATGAAGTTGATATTTTTAAAATTTAACTCCTATTACTACATACTTTCTCATTATCCGTTCCTCTCTAACTGATAGATACTCAAAAGTCAATCACAATAATGCTTATTCATCCCTCTTTTCCCAGTCCGCTGGTGTTCCTCAAGGTAGTATCCTTGGTTCTATCCTTTACACAATTTATACAGCTGACATCCCAACCCATCCTAACACTGTTATTACCACGTATGCCGATTATATATGTGTCCTATCCGTTAATAATGACCCAACCATTGCATCCCAAACTCTTCAATTGCACATCACAAGCCTTGAAGAATGGTATCAAAACTGGAGGATTAAAATAAATTCTAATAAATCCCATCAAATCACCTTTACCCTTCGACGTAAACCTATTACCTCATGTTCCACAGTATCCTTTAATAACATCCCACTTATCCCTGTTGAACAAATCCGATACCTTGGACAAACGTCTAATTTGGAATCCTCATACCAGACTGAAACGACAAGAAACCGCTCGACGTTTCCGACTACTCCAACACTTACTAGACAAACGTTCTAAGCTTCCAGTTAATTACAAAAGACTTATATACATGACTACAATAAGTCCTATTTGGATTTATGGAGTTGATCTTTGGGGCTCCACTAAGCCATCGAATTCCTCTCGTATCCAATCCAAAATCCTTCGGAAAATCCTCATTGCTCCTTACTTTGTCACCAATAAAATAATCCATAATGACCTTAATGTTCCTTATGTTTCCGATTTGGCTCAATCCAGATACCAATCCTTCCATAATAAACTTCAGAACCATCCGAATCCTCTCGTCTCTAACCTTGCTTCCTCTTCTATTCCTGATAACCCTACGACGCGTCTGAAAAGAAGATGGCCTCGAGATCTCTTATTGTAAATACATTTTGTTTTTAGAGTGCTACCATTTCAAGTCATTTCATGTTATTATTTTCTGTTATCAAATTTACTTAATGTATTTAATTTTTTAATACAGTTGCAAATATCATGAATAAATAAAAATAAAAAACTCCTATTACGCGCTGAATTGAAACCTAAAAAATAATTGACAACTGCTTCCAATATTTTTCACAAACTCAAAACATTAATTTTCTATAAAAATTAAAGCCATTTTAGTTCGAAAATATCAAATATTAATATTAATTAAGCGCTTAAAAACAAAAATTTTTGATACTTCTGAGTTTCTAGTGGATCTTTAAAACTTTCTTCAATGATTGTGAGTTATGAAAGTTCGGTTCCATTTTAAAACAATCGTTCGATGCTGATATCGCCAAGGAAGCATTATCAGGTTACTGTTCTCTTTTTAGAACAAGGTTTCTCTGTATTGATTGTGAACAAAAAAAAAAAATGAATCATGAGGGATTCGATTTAGCGAATCTGACATATCATTGACTAATTTCTTGATAAAGCCCTCAATCTCAGAGAAAGCTAAACGATTTGCAGTTTGACTCAACGTTAGATAGCCTCAATATTGTATCGTTATATTCGTTATTAGATTCGACAAACTATAATGTAGTTGACTAGTATATAACCTGACGATAATGTAACGCCCACATTAGATTGCTATCTCTCTTCCTAATGCATTAGATATATCAGCGATATTGTACACATATATTGTACATGTTTATTCCTATGCACAATATAATATTACCAACATAATCTATTCAACATTAACAATTGGGGAATCTTCATACTTTACCACAATTACTTAAGTAATAATTTAATTAGTAAGTGACGAGCTTTCCACTGGAAAATATTCCATCTGTTTAATAGTTAGGCAATAAGCTTTCCTTGAATGTTATACTAATCCATTATTGTACTCGACCAAGATCTATTTTGTGCTGAAGATTCTTGATTAGTAGTTTTCTGACTTATTCAGAGTATAGAAGTCTATTACTGAGCGTATAGAAACCTATCTAGATATTTTTTTTTATTTATTAAAAATATCAAAATATTTCATTCTGTATTATCTGTACCTTTTCAACCAAAAAAAAAAAATCTTACGTTCTCGATTTCTATACTTCTTGTTCCTCTCTCCATTCGTTAACACGAGATACCAGCCCTCAAATCTGCATATTCCTTCTCATAGTTTCCTTTAAAAATCCTTTGTCATGCATGCATGCTACCTGATTTTGGAATTCCTTACCAACTTACATACGTAAATTATCATCCATCATTTTAACATAATTTATCTATCCATCTCCTCAGTAATCATTCATCCCAATGTGTGTAAAATAATGATCACGTTTTTCAGATCTGCCAATCGCTTTAATGTTATCTGACAGATAATTAAATATCATCCGCATTGTTTATGTTTACAAATATGTGAACTCGCATATCTGAATTTATCTATGATTTCATATATCTGACAGTGCCTTTTCTTTATTGTAACCTTAGATCTAGACAATTTTGTAATCTAATTTATTTCCAATTCCAGACAATCGTCATTAAATTGTACATTGTAGTTATTCTAAGGGAACTTTGTTCAAGGATAAAATTTATATTTCTTTTTCTTCTCAATTTATCTTTTCCACAGATTTTAAGTTCGTCGATGACAATCATAAATAGCAATAATTCAACTTTTAAAACCTTACTTACTTAAACCATCCTCCCTAGCGCTAAGTTGTGTGAGGCTTCCGTCTGCAAAGCCTGATCCACTCGTCTCTTTCCTGGACCAGTTGATTTCTTCTCGAGCAGTCCAATCCTCTTCAAAGGCCTCCTTTATTCTGATTTTCCAGGTCTTCATAGGTCGCCCTCTATGTCTTTTACCTCTCACCTTCGTTTCATAAGTGAGCTTTGCTAATCTGTCTTGTAGCATTCGAAAGATGTGTCCGAATCACCTTACCCAGTGCTCTTTTATTTTTTTTCCTTTGCATTCTGTAGACCCAGATCGGATTGGACAGTGGTATTCCTCACTAGTTCTCTCCTTGTCTTATATTCTAAAGAGTTAGTGCATCTCTTATATGTTTTGAGTTGCTCTTCTATGTTTTTATTTTACGGTCCAAGACTCTTTTAGAGTAGACCATGATTGGAAGGAATGTTTTTTTAAATACTGATACCTTTGTAGTTTTGGGTCTAATTTTTTACCCCAAAAAACTTTTTATAATGGCATTAAAGCACCTTCCGGTTACCTTTCCCATATATTCCCGTCCACCTAACTTTTAAAATCTAAACAAGAATTTCGGCAAGATACATAGCTTATCTCAAAACGGTATATTTTAAGATTTTAAAAGGCTGGGTCAGAGGGAGGGGACCATCCCCTCCAAGGTCGTTAGCAAATAAATCTTCCCTCTCCCATTTTCACAAAATTTTATTGTTCTCTTGTTCTTAAAAATAATGCAGATGACAGAAGAATTAGAAGAAAAAAGATCATATACAATTACACTGGCTGAGGTCTCGTACATGTCTATACCCTTGTCTCTTGGTTAAACCAAAATTTAATTTCGAAAATTCCACTCCGTCGAAATGTGCTCCCTCTTTACTTTACAACAAAATTTTTAAAAATTCGTTATTTAAAAAAGTAATAATAAATAAGAAGTGAATTTTGGCAATTATGTTTACTATAATACATCCCAGATCATGGATAGATAAGAAATAAGAGCTTTGCAACAATTAATTGTATTGAATAAGCTGAAAACAAGGGTACTTGAGGAGGATAAAGAAATAAAAAATCAGTTTTTCTAAAAGTGTATTTGTAGTATAGTTGGCTGATGATAAAAGAAAATGGAGAATAATTTATGGTTATTTAAAAAACATAGCATAGTTAAGCTGCTAAAATTCATTTTTAAGTGGTTTTAACAATGACAAATTATACTTTCATTTGAATGTATTTTTGTCTAGTTTGCAGTGAAATAACTACTTAAATTAAATAGTTTTTAGTTATTACTTCCTATCCAACAACAAATGTGACTTTACTTAAAAAAACACAAAACTTTAATTTCCTTCTTTTCTGCTGGAAAGCGGACCATTGTTTATATAAACTTTATGTTAGCTCCTGATTTGGTAGGTCATATATCACTTCTATAAATTTTTATCTCTATTTATGGAACACCCTGTATAAAATATAGATTTTAAGTGAATTAAATGAAATATTTAATCGTATCCAAATTCCAAGTATATCCAAGTATTATAGCCTGGAAACAAAATCTTCTAAGTCTATAAGCAAGCCATATTATACCATCAGGTATATGGTGAGAATTCCCGACCTGTGATATAACATGAGGCTTATTGTACAAGCAGTCCTTGAGGACGTCCTTTCGTTTATCCAGGCACTCCGCAGGCCTAACTAGAACAACGTCCACTCCGAAGGTTGGCCGAAGGAGGGAGAAAACCGGTTTCAAGAATGCGGTGCAGCTGCAGGTTGAGTCAAGGTATTTTCGGAACCTGGGTTTAGTCCATTCATATCTCCAAAGGATACGTCATCCAGGATTACGTTCGGGAGCGATGTAGCAATGAGGAGTTGTGTTGATCGTTAAGACCATAACACGTGTCTTATTGACAATAGGTTCCATTAATGGATTCAGAGGAACTGTTTGCATGTTTTTACCATAAATTTGAATATGACATGTTTAATTCAAAACTAACACCACTTTGGTATAAGCGGAAACGGTGTGAAACCACACTAAATATTAAATACCGTGCAATGATCATGCTTTTAATGTAATTATTATACTTTCAAATTTATTTTAAATATTAACGAAATAGAGTTACTTTTCTCATGTTATCTATATTTATCACCTAATAATTAATCAGTAAAATAGTACCTATTTTAATTGTGTAAGTATTTGTCAAGAATATTCATAGAAACAATTTTTTTTTAAATAATTTTAGTTTTAGAGACTTAAACTATGTATCCTCATTAGGATCCATACTGAATGCTATTTAGAACCTTTTTTCTTCCAGAACTTAATGTGTTTATTTATATATTATATAATGTAATTAATTTTTTGAACTAATCGTTTATTGTAGGGAGTGGGTTAGCTCAGAGATTAGGTGCTGAACTTCCAATGCTCATGTTCTCAGGTTCGAATGCCGGCTCATGGCAGAAAAATGATTTATTCTGTTACATTGGTCGTGGAACGATCCGAAACCTGGGGCACACCTAGCTTCTTTAAAGTGGATACCCTGAATTAAAGAATTAGTTAAGGGGAAAACCTGGTGCTTGAGCGTGGCCTCGATCAAATCACCTCTTAGCACAACGGTTGACCAAAGATAAAAAGTACTGAACCCAAGACCCTTCATGGGTTGTAGTGGTACAGGTTATTATTATTTTTTTTATTGTAACAATTCTCAAGATATTCAAAGTTGGAAAATGGACAGATTTGCAATGACTTTGTCAAAGCAGACTATTAACTGAAGCTTCTGGCAAATTAGGACTTGCTTTTACAAGTCTTAAAGCCAAAAATGAACACAAAAAAAAAAAACTCAAGGTTCTTTATTTGGAATTTTCCAAAATCAAACTTTTAAGATATGTGTTTTACCATATTATTTTTCTACCGAAATTCATAATCAATATCTTCTCTTCTTTAATGATAAACGTCGCAGTACAAGTAATAGGTCTCAAATATACACTATTTCTATAACTCACTGAGTTTAGCAAACCGAATTCTGGAATTATCAAAATGGTCCAATGCCGGAACAAACTAGTTCACGTTCTTTGAGTGAGTAAGAACGACACGGGATTTCTGCATGGATTCTTACACTTCCGCTGTTGTACAGCAATCAGCCCCCATAGTGGTAGCAAAACTTTCCACTACGTGTTCATCCGGTCTGCGTTCCTGGTCTATGATGGAGATAAATAATCTTGAGCGGGCATATGGTTTATCCAAGCATCTGTTCATCATCTCGGATCTTCCATCACGGATCTGCTTTTCTTTTTGCTCTTGTATAATTGGAGCAATTCAATACGTTGTTTCCTTGTTGATGTATCATGAGTCGTTACGTTTGAAACGTCATAAATCAATTAATATAATTAAAATGAATCATGAATCCTGCAGACTTAACCCGTTTATACAGAATGCAATTCATTGCGAATTAAACTCTTTTAAGCACAGTATAAAATAAAATATTTACACAAATGGGAGAACTGCAGCTTTGAAGGAATAAACATTGCTTTCAAGAAGTTACAGTTGAGGCTTAGCGGATAGAGACTAGGGAATTCCAAAAAGAGATAGTGTGATTGCTAATGAGTTTTCAAAGTAAGCAGTTCTATAACAGGAGATAATTCTGTTAGTCGAGATCAACACGATGAAACATATTTATAGATTGACCATGTTATTTTTTCGAATTTTTCTAGTTTACTATACAGTGTGAAATACTATTTAAAGATTTTGGACTATACAAGGTGTTCGGTAATTGCACGGAATTATTTTAGGTATGTGTTCACTAACACGAAATTAACAAAAAAGTTCATATTAATATATATCTCAAATTAATTTATCAAACATATATCAAAGGTTAAAGGTTTATTGTTTATTTAATACATTAAGACTGACTGAACAAAGTTTAACGTGTTTAATACTGAATAACAGGTTTTGATCACCTGATAAAAAAATGAATGATAAGCAATAACAGTAGTTGCTCATCTGTTTATCTAGTTCTGTGCGTTTGGGTGAATTCTGTGACACAGTTCAATTTATGATTATCATGGGAGACCCAGCAATAGCAGCAGAACCGTTTCTATTTACCTCGCCATAAGTTAAATGCATACTTGTTTGTTCCAAAAAAGTGAATAAATTTATGGTGTCTCTCATGATAATCATAAATTGATCTGTGTCACAGTAATCACTAACACCAAAATACACAGAACTAGACAAAAAGATGAGCAACTACTGTCATTCAGTGTTACCGCGCGCTCTGTGACAAAACCTCGTACTCGTACCACAGCCTCGTACATCCTCGTACGCCTGCTCATTCATAACTTCCAGTGTTATAATGCCAGTGTTATTGTTTTTTTTTATAGTAAAATTAGATCAGAATTTTTATTTTTGCCTCCATTCATATATTTTAAAGCCTTTTTACATTACTTTTTTTTAAGTTAATGGGTCAAGAAGTAAAATTAGCTTAATAAAATATATAAAAAAGTTTATATATTTTTATAAACTACTGAAAACGTTATATAAAAATTAAAATAGCTAAATAAACTTCTTAAAGTACTCTTCATAAGTATTCATTAGTAGATCCAAGATTTAATTTGGGGGAAAGACTATTTTTTTTTCTTTTTTCTAAAAACAAAACAACTACTTTTATGAAAGGATGTTAGTGGTTCTGGAAGGCCAATAATAATTAATTATTAGAGCATTAATGGTTTTAGAGATATCCATTATAATATAAAAAAAATAATAGATTGTGATTGTTTCAATATTTAGTTTACAATTAGGTCTCGCACAAAATAAATGTTGACCAATGAAAAAATACTTTTTTTTTTCATTATTTAAGATGGGACCATTATGAATACTAGAAATACTAGTTCATTTTTCAATTAATTACTTTACTCGATTAAAAATCGAAAATAATTTTTCTTTATATTACGCTAATAATTTTAAAAAAAAATTAATTTATCTAGAATATATTTACAATTGCAGTTTTATGAAGGAAATAATAATTACGAAGAAAATAATGGATATGCTTTCTCGTATTTTATTTTATGCTCTATAAAAATGACGGTAAAAATTTCTGTTTAATTTTCTGTTACAACACATTTTAAAAAATATATATTTATAAAAAAAGTTTTATGAAGGAAATAATGGATATGGTTTCTTATATTTTATTTTATACTAAATAAAATCTAAAATTTTCTTTTTTATTTTTTTTTCTAGA